TGCGGGAAGCAGCGGGAAGCAGCGGCCAGCACATCCCTCAGCCCACGCTGCTTCCCGCAGCCCCCATTGGCCTGGAACGGCAAACCACAGCCAGTGGGAGCCGCGATTGGCCGAACCTGTGGACGTCGCAGATAAACGAACCGGCGTATTTCCCTGACGGGCCGTGTGCCAAAGGTTGCCGATCCCTGAACTAGATGATCACAATGGTCCCTTCTGGCTTTGGGACCTATGAGCCTATTGAATATGAGTTTTGCACATGCACTGATGAGAGAATAGAGACTATTCATATTACAGTTTATGGAAAACATAAGTAGCACAATACTGGCCTGGAGCAGCCCCTCCACATGTGACTCTCCCATCTGCTTGGAGAGAGGAGCACTAGATACAGTGCATTAACAAGTGTTCCTTATGGTCTCTTCCGTGGTTATGATTTATGATACAATATATTCTTAAATATTTCTTTCTCAGAGTGACTATAGGAGAGACTTTACTTTAAGGCATCTAGGAATACAATATCATAAAAGTATGTGATTTATCCTATGGATGGGTGAGCTAATTTGGTTAACATTAGGAAATGATTTGTCTTTTTGCTCCCTACTCACTAGCTCATTATGTCAGAGTGCTTTGAGGGTGACCACCAGGTAGCTAGCTCACTTGTGCAAGTCTCCGCACCAGGGGGTAACTTTGCATACTCTGCTTTTGACCTTCATCAGGGAGCAGGACAGCAGGCTGTTCACCTCAGCCTAGGATTGTATCCTGTCTGGTGCAGTAGAATCCAGTACCCCTTAACAGGGCCCAATTTAAAATATAAAACTTGGGGGGGAAAGGGGAAATAATTTGTGATTTTTTTTTATTTGGAATTTTGTTAAAATTCCAACCAGCACTATATTTGATCAAAAAATGGGGGGACAGGAAGGGAGAGAGGGAATGGGGGAGTAATATGGACATTTAGTTCAAGTCAATGGGGTCACTTGTAGTGTGTAAAGTTAAACATGTGCATAAATCATTGCAGGTGTGGGTCTTTAGTTAAGAATATCCATCAAGTGCATATCCTTGATTTGTGTTGTTAACCATATATTTCAGTGTCAAATTTACAATTTGCTGTTTACATCATTATTGTTTAGTTCCACTACTCAACGTTTTTATATTTTCTGAGCACTTTTGCAAACTACACCCTTGATATCTAAGTACTGGATTTGAGAGGGAAACAGGTACTTCGATATATAAAGTGTGCCTGAAAATAATTGTTGGCACAAAACACATGCTCACAGTTTCCTGGCACAAAAAAAAATTAGACTATTTAAAAAAATCTGGCTACTGCTGTGTAAGTATTAAGAAATGTACTGATGCAGCACATTCACAGTAGCATTTGGGAAATACCAGTCTGTGTTTAATCTTTTCCTTATTATTTATCCACTTGAAACAATCAATTTTTAACATCCATAGGGCTGGATGTTTTCAAAATGACATCCTCTTTTTATACCCTTACTCATGGATGCAAGTAATTGTGGGCACAATTAAGCCATTTACGCATCTAAGTAATGGACTGTACCCACCAGTTCATGTATGTTGATGTCTAAATGGCCTGAGTTGTCCTTGCAATTATTTCTGTCCACCAAATTTTATGCTCAAAAAGGGATGTCCATTTAAGGCTAAACTGCAAATCAAGCTCTTAATATTTTTCATGTGACTTTCCATTTTAAACCTCTATCGGAACCTGTTCTGTTCACATAAAATGCTACCATACTATAAATCTTGTACTCCACAGCAAAAGCAGACCCTTTTACAGTATGGCAAGCCTGAACTGAAACTGTTTTTTGAAGCCACCATCACAACTGGCACCATTGTCAGCAATGTTAGCAGAGAGGCCAAGAATTGAATCTGCTACTGGTTTTTAAGGATTCAGGTGAGACTGAAGGTTTAGGATTAAAAATGGTTGTCTGACCCCTTCCTTCCCCCAAGCACCTGGTCACTTGGGAATTCAGAGACATGCTCAGTCTCATTACATCAGGAGAGATGACTGCTTCTTTTCACAGTGCTTGTTTCCCCTTCCTCTCCCACTCCCCTTATTTATTTGGCATAAACTTCAGCCCATTTTAAAACCTGGGATTCCTTATTTCCATGTTGTTACTTCTGTACTTCAGGGAATTTCCATTAGGAAGCTAATATCTTTCTAAGCTTGCTATAATGGCACATGAGCTAAGTTTCTTTGTTAAGAATTTCCATAACTCATTCAGTCATAAGAAGCATTGGTACTGTTGGCTAAAGTCATTTCCTCTCCCTGCAGCAAGTCATCTTGACTTTCTGGGTAATTGTGCTGAAGAAAAGCCCGCTCCATAATGGTTTAATTTGGCAACCCTTTATCGTGTTACCAGATTTTTGCTCTTATTGTCCGATTAATTCCATCCTGGAATTGTATTGGGAGTGGTATGTCTTGTATGGCTGATTGTGTAGACATCTCCTAGTAAGCCAGTAGTGAATATTGTAACATTGATATTTGCTAGTAGTTTGAGGAAAGCAAGCAGATGAAATAACCTGGTAATGATCTCTATCACAAGTACTGTGTACAATTTTCAAAAAGAAGAAAAATCTATTGGGAGAGACTCTGAATTTATTGCCAGAAAATTATGTTGTGGCTGCAGTGACCGTTGTGGTCGTATATTGTTTTCAAACTGTGCAGGGTATTGGATTCAGTAGAACTTTCCCTTCCTGACAGAAGCTGTGTGAAGTGAGGGATAATAGCATCTTAAAAGTCCTGTTGCACTTCTCACAAAGCTGAGGGGAGAGTTATACAGTATGTGGATGTGGGGAGCCCATGAACTATTTATTCTTCTTCATTTCCTTTGAATGCTATGTGTTCATCTCATAGTACTGCTGCTGGCACTGTCTTGATATGAGTCTGAAGATCATATGTGTAGTATGCAGACAGAAATAAATCCTCTAGGTAAAAGAAAGTGGAAACTGGCCAATGATCAAAGGTTATCCTCATTCCACTCCTTCCTTCACTTTTATTATCCTACTAAATTTGGTCTTTTGCAAAGCATCCCTCCCCCTCCGCCCCACTACAAGTGAAGGTAGAGCTTAAATGAGAGATTTAAATTTTTGCTTGTTTTTCAAACCATGTGTAATTTGAACCACAGTGTAGTGGCTTCAGTAGAGTCAAAACTGCAGTTCTTAGAGAGCTACACTAGGTTGTGAGTTGGTTTAAAGAATTAACCTTTCACTCCAAGGGTTCTGGGATCAGCCCTGGGACAAGTGGCAAGTAGAATTTTGTGAACAATTAGGCAAAATGTGGAATAATTAGGGACCCGATCCTGCAAACAGTTATAGCCATGCTTAACTATATGTCCCATTGAAGTAAATGGGGTTACTCATGTGCTTACTTCTTAAGCATCTGTGTAAATGCTTGCAGGGTCAGGGCTTCAGTCTGTGCCTCAGAACATTTCTCCAGAATATTTTTTTCATTTATTGAAATGTCAAATTTCTAGATTCCGTTCTCACTGGAGCACAGTAAAAATGTCTTTCTGGAGCCGTAAACCTCCTGGGTGTCTTGCCAATCTGTTTATTAAACCTAGGGGACAAGCAGTGCTCTGGAGCTGGTAGGGACTACTGTCAGAAGATCAACTAGAACAGAGTGGATAGAAGTGTGAGACCCAGGCTGCAAGTGTGTTGTGAATTTAACTTAAAAAGTCTCAAGGCCTTACCTGCCATTAACCATTGGAAGGGAGGTTAAGCCAAAGCAAAAACTACCCTTGGAAATTACACAACCATTTTCAAAATTTTCCTCCCCAAATTATCCAACTTCTTATGAAATTTGATGAAACAAAAATGAAAGAATTTCACCTAACTTTAATCTCAGATGAAATTTAAGTGGTGGTGTTACCTGAGTTGAATACCCTCATAAAGCTGGATCCAATGGAGCTCCATTGGCAGCCTCTGGTTGTGATACAGGGATACAGAGTGCTGTGGATCAATGCTTGAGGAACACTAGCAGAGCTGTCTGGTAAACCTTGAACAGTTCCAGCCTGCACTAAGCCTGATTCCAGAGATTGTTGCTAGTGCACTGACTTTAACAAACATCAAAATGTAACATCTAGTATTATTTATTTTTTACACTGTGGTAGTGCATTAAGTTCAGGGCCCATTGTGCTGGTCCCTTTACAAAGTGAAAAAATGCATCTAAGAGTCTAAAACTTAATTTAGCAAGATACAGTCTTTGATCAAGATAGTTTCTCTTACCCACAGGCTCCTTTTCAGCTTTTACTAGCCAGCTTGGCCAGGATCCATCACAGAGCTCAAATCACTTGTTGTTGGGTTGTTGTTGTTGTTGTTGTTTGTCTCCTTTGGTAAAGGATAAAAGTGGATTTTCTCTTTGTTCCTTATATCCCCAATGGTATGTCTATGTTTACAAGTTAGGAAGGCCTCCTGGGGATTTAGTCTCCTGTGTTTCTCCGGGGTACAAGAATCATATTAAATCTCTACCTCTTGAGTTCAGGATCAGGATAAATGCCACTGGTTTAGCTTGATGGTTTTGTTTACTGCTAATATGTAAACTGGGGTAAATCCGCATTGCCTTTTCTAGGACAGACCTGTTTATCACCTTTACCTAGGCTAGCCTGTCTGGTTGTAAACATATTCTAGTAACGTCACACAGTGGGAATTCATAGCTTCACATATAACTATGTGAATGTGTATCATTTTACAATGATATTAATAACCAGTGTGTTGTTAGCTTTCATACGATACCTCACAAGGCATATTTTGTACAAATATCATTGCAGTAGGGTGTGAATACAGAGGTACACTGTTACACTTTCTTCTGTAGTATTTAGGGCTGACCAGTGTTGGGGCCAGGTTACTGATATAGATGGACCATAGTTCTGATCTTATGTTTTTGTGCAATATCCTCATGTTTCCTACTTTCTGATACAACAGATGTAAAATATGTCATTAATATCTGTTCTGCTTTACTAATTTGCACTACTGTCTTTGCATGTTAGGTTTTGGTCACCTAACGAAGCAGTTGCTGAAGCTAGCAGCTGGCCGTGTGGTGCTGGCACTGGAGGGAGGACATGACCTTACTGCCATCTGTGATGCATCTGAAGCCTGTGTAAATGCCCTTCTAGGAAATGAGGTAAAAGTCAAGTCCAAGGGTTTCAGACGACAATCCATGTTTTCGAAAAGTTCTGTCTTTTTGCTTTCTTTTAATTTTCCTGGTGTGTAGAAATAAGTGCCTTTTGCACATGTCTTAGTAATGAGCAAAATGCAAAAGAGTCGGAAGTTATTTTGGTTTTGATAAGCACCCCACCATCAGATGTTTATATGAATCTCTAGGGTTTGCAAAACTATTCTTGATTCTGAGAAGGACTCAATATGCTGTGCTGAGAACCTGCCTTGACATCCCTGTGGGGTTCCGCAGGGGTCTGTTTTGGGACCGGCTCTGTTCAATATCTTCATTAACGACTTAGATATTGGCATAGAAAGTACGCTTATTAAGTTTGTGGATGATAGCAAACTGGGAGGGATTGCAACTGCTTTGGAGGACAGGGTCTTAATTCAAAATGATCTGGACAAATTGGAGAAATGGTCTGAGTTAAACAGGATGAAGTTTAACAAAGACAAATGCAAAGTGCTCCACTTAGGAAGAAAAAAATCAGTTTCACACATACAGAATGGGAAGAGACTGTCTAGGAAGGAGTACGGCAGAAAGGGATCTAGGGGTTATAGTGGACCACAAGCTAAATATGAGTCAACAGTGTGATGCTATTGCAAAAAAAGCAAACATGATTCTGGGATGTATTAACAGGTGTGTTGTGAGCAAGACACGAGAAGTCATTCTTCCGCTTTACTCTGCTCTTGTTAGGCCTCAGCTGGAGTATTGTGTCCAGTTCTGGGCACCGCATTTCAAGAAAGATGTGGAGAAATTGGAAAGGGTCCAGAGAAGAGCAACAAGAATGATTAAAGGTCTTGAGAACATGACCTATGAAGGAAGGCTGAAAGAATTGGGTTTGTTTAGTTTGGAAAAGAGAAGACTGAGAGGGGACATGATAGCAGTTTTCAGGTATCTAAAAGGGTGTCATAAGGAGGAGGGAGAAAACTTGTTCACCTTAGCCTCTAAGGATAGAGCAAGAAGCAATGGGCTTAAACTGCAGCAAGGGAGGTCTAGGTTGGACATTAGGAAAAAGTTCCTAACTGTCAGGGTGGTTAAACACTGGAATAAATTGCCTAGGGAGGTTGTGGAATCTCCATCTCTGGAGATATTTAAGAGTAGGTTAGATAAATGTCTATCAGGGATGGTCTAGACAGTATTTGGTCCTGCCATGCGGGCAGGGGACTGGACTTGATGACCTCTCGAGGTCCCTTCCAGTCCTAGAATCTATGAATCTATGAATCAGTGGGGGTCACTGATGCTCATCATTGATCAAGTCTTTGCGCGAGCTATTGTGGAAAAACAGGCTCTTCTCTCAAGATTGCTGGTAAGTTCTTGGACTGAAAATAGCAAAAGCACATTTTCAGGCAGTATTTTGATACTTTTCTTTCCACCATCCACGGGCAAATCTCTGCTCTCTGCATATGCTCACTCTGTGGTGAAAATGATTAAGGTTAAACCTGCTAAAGGCACATACAAAAATCAAATACATAAAGGCAACGTACCTTTACCTTAAATTGTGACCCTGTCACATGTTCTCATGCCATGATCTGTGAAATCTTGTTATGGGGAACAGTGTTGCAAGTCATTATTTTTACTGGAAACTGACAGCCCCAGTAATCAGTATTTTTAGTGTACTTACTCACTTACTAGTCTCCTAATTCCTTTTTAGGGCACCATTTCAGGCCTATTAGATTGATGTGAAGTGCTGTTTGTTATAGTGGAAATTGCTTACAACCTATAAAATCACCTGTGAAGGACTTTTTAAAGACCTTTATGCCTTTTTTTTTTTTATGATACATAGAGAATGCCTGAAAGGGTTTTTTTTCTGCTTGTGTTTTACTTTATAGACAACAAAAATGTCACATGAGGCCTTCCCTAATTTTGCTGGAGAACCTATTGAGCATCTCAGAGATGTGTATTGGGAGTTCTCAAACCTGAATCAAAAGAGTAATGGTAATATAACAAAGACATCTTTTCTCTCAAATGTTCTTCAAGCATTGGAGTTGAATACATGTTAAAAAAAACAGTTTTAAACAATTTGTCTAAAAATTCTTTCCCCCTTTCAGCTGCTCACTTTTCAATCTATTGGCTCTGGTGAAGTCTCAATTTCACCAATTCTCCAGTGTCCATAGAAACTTCCAAAGTAGACAAGACACACATTTGTAGTGCTAAAAACAAGCAGGAAGCCCCCTTCTCCTATGCCTTTTCCCCCTACTTTGAACCAAAACCTTTCAGGCTTTCTTTATGTATCACAAAGAAGCAATAAAGGACACAAGCCCATTATTTTTTTCCTTTGCAGGTTAAGGAAAATTTACTATATTGCAAGTCTTGAACTTAGTTTACATGGCAACATAGTACACCCCAACAGGCTGCATACGCTGGCTCTGCACCATAGTGGCCTGTCTTGAGAACAAGTAGCCTGATTCAGAAGGTACAAGGCACCTCTTAGAGGAAAAGGAGCTATAGAGCTTCTTGGGAACAGGAAATTAATGCAAAGAAACTCCCCGGAGCAACCCCAAACTGTTCCTCAGCCTTCTCCCTTGCAGGCACCAGGGACAGTGTAGGAATTAATACATTAAGGGAGTGCTACTGTGGAGGGGTGAGCAAAGAAAAATGATACCTTGTGTGAAGATGGTTGGGGTTGCTGGAAAGGTCTCTCTTCTCCCCATCCCCTTGCGCTCTGTGGGAACAAGCATTCCATAGCAGAATATTCAGCCCGATTTGAGTTTCATGCTGGGTGATCTATGATATGGCCCATAAAGAAAAGTTTTCAAAAGTGCTGAACATCCAGTGTCTTCTTTCGAGAAGGATGAGCAACACTTTTGAATGTCAGGCCTCTTGTTTGAGTGCTGAAATATGAATTTAGAAGCCCAACTTCAGGCACTCTGTTTGAAAATCTTAGTCATAAAATTTTGTTGACCCTCCTGATCAGCCTGCCCTCCTGCCCATCCTCACCCACACTATCATTCATGAACTTCATATCCGACACAGCAGTTTCCTGTGGTGGTGATGGTGATGGTGGCACATCCTCTGAATCCTTCTCCTTCAAAATCAGCCACAACAGCAATGTTCTCACAGTGCAACCTTTGCCCAGCTTTAGACTGGAGATGTGTCAGCCTGATTTCTGCTTGGCCCTGGTTAGCCTGGACACATTTAAGGTAATATCTCTCTGAGGTTTGCAGCCTCGTGGGGAGACAAATAATGCTAATGAAACTATGCTCCCACCTAGGGTGACCAGATGTCCTGATTTTATAGGGACAGTCCCAATTTTTGGGTCTTTTTCTTATATAGGCTCCTATTACCCCCCCACCCCCGTCCCGATTTTTCACACTTGCTGTCTGGTCGCCCTACTCCCATCACTATGCCAGGGGCCCGACTCTCCACAGCCAACGATGACCATTTGGTGACGTTGCTTCTTTGTGAGAAAGGCCTTGTTTTGTTTTAATGTTGGCTCACACCTGCTACTGCTTCTACAGCTGCTGACCCTCTGCATTCTCAGAAAAATACCTACAGTTGGAAACAGACATGAAATGTATGTCACTGTGAGTTATGTATGAGTGCGCTTAAATATTGACCTAACTCTATTGGCTCTTAAGGGGGACCAGTAATCTGAGGCCAATAAAGGAGGCTGGGTGATTCAATGGGTTTATCTGTTTGCAAAATATAGCATAATAAATGGAAGGAAGGACTTTTAATAATGGAAGATGAAGACAAGTGTGAGTGCATGTGCATTATAATTCACTAGAGGAAAGACATGAACATTAAGATCTTGAAACCTCTCACACAATAAATATTCTTCTCATGTACACTTACATTATAATTTATAATACAAGCATGTTTATTTTCCAAGTATTAAATCTAACTAGGGACATGCAGGAAACAGGCAGACACACATCTCCGAACCAAAACTGAACAATGTTACAGCAAGGAGAGAGCAGATACCGCCCCTGCTAATTTTGGAGATGGAAGATTCAGAAACTATGTCATCATCACCACCATAAGAAATTGCTCACAGAAAATCTGTGACTAAAGGTATTGCTGAGATGGGTAGGCTGATAAGGAAGGGCATGTAGATATAGGGTCAGATACTCACCTTGTGTAAATTGGCACAGGTCTATCGACTTCCATGGAGTTATGCCAATCAATACTAGATGAGGATATGGACCATAGCATATATATGGTGTACACTGCCTCATTTCAACAGAATACTTGTAGATTTGCACAGCCAACTACAAAGTCTCCTCCAGTCAAGGACAGAAAAAATTGGTTCCTTTAAGTCACCAATTATTGTAATTTGAAGATGCATTCTTCCTTGAATGCAATTCTTTACAGGTGATTAATAGGGTAATTCTAACTTATTATCTGGCACTTCACTTTTACAAATAATGATACGTACTGCAACCGTAGTTTAAAAACATTGGCAAGACCAACTTTGGCTTCTAAACACTGCACATGCAATTGAACTCAAATTAGAAAGGTCAGGAAAGGCCTTTGTAAGGTACTCTGCAGTTTGTCAGTTGTATTTATTCATGTGCTGAGGATTAGAATTCATAAACATTTTGCAGGTTTTTTTTTAATTCTTTTTTCCTTGCCTATGTTGTTCTTGGCCAGGACCTGTCAGTAGAGCAATATACTGCTTCGTATGTCTTATTATCAGCAGAATAACTTATAACAAAAAGAGTAACCGTAAAACTAGCAGTAACTTTCAACTTTCGTGGGGAGCCAGTCAGACATGTAGATGAAACAACAGACTTCCAAGCTAGAAATGCTTGCTTTAACTAATTTGTCTCTGAATCTCTGCAAGAAAAACATGTTGACACCCCAAAAAGACAAAACCAAAAAAAAAAAAAAAACCCAACCCCAAAACTAAACCCAAACTTGCTTTTAATTACATGTGGCCTTCATGAAAGTGATCTGTTTAGGAAGATAGCTTTTACTTTCCCCTTAATAATTATGAGTTGGGTCAATATGAAAACAATATG